TTGAGCCAAGATATGGGATGTGAACTGTATTATCCGTTTTATGATGAGGTCAAGCGGCGAGCTGCTGTGAACACGGCGATGAACCTTAGAAAGCAAGAAATTTCTTAACTAGATGAATGACTTTCTCAGTATTGATTGTGCTCTTTGGATTATGAGGATGAGGTGGGCGAAACATATAACACGCATGGAAGGGATAAGAAGTTTATATAAAATGTTAGTATGAGTCATCTGCGAAAGTACTAAACTGTTTTCCGCGATATTTGGTATTGGAAGTGTTTACATTAAAAGATGTGGATGCAATTTAATTTCGGTTCATATAGGTCCAATATATTACATAAAACTGACATCGAGGTTTATCGTTTCTAAAAAAGAACCCTGCTTTTCATGCAGACATTTGATGGAAAGGAAGTAAACAAGGTTTACGGCAAGATTTTGGCTTGTAAATTTTATTTTAAACGTTGCTGGATGTGATGACTATTTAATGAAACACACGTAAGAAAGGTTTCTGATCCAGTTCAATGCGGTAACCATAATGCTTAGCAGCTTTGCAACATTCGATTAGTTTCTGCAGCAAGTGAACGTCAGGCCAATGGACTATACAAAACTGCAAATACTGAGAGGAAAATGTGTGTAGGCCTACTCTACTGAAATTCTCCTTTAGCTCTTGATATTATACTACAGTTGTTACAATTGTCGACTGTCTGCTGCTAGATCAGTCATAGGCTGTCATATGATCCACAGGCTTTCGACTGCGCACGGCCGTACTCCCGCCATCTGAAGTGCAAATCAATGCTGCCAACTCATTAATTTTCACGCTAGTGTCTGTTTTTTAATATAGTGAGGCTTTCTAAGATTCGATTGGTAAGTTATTTAATAAAAAACATGAGTGAGGCTGCTTACTTATTTTCCTTACTTCACTACAGTTTCCTTTCACGCCATTAAGTCCTCCTTCTCGAAGCTATGTGATCTATACGCAGCTCAGAATGCATCGTTAAATTAACCAAAAGATCGAAGCAAGGACGTTGCATACTAAACGAGAGAGAGTCCCAGTGGAATCTACAGAAATCAATTTTTGGAGATGTTTACAACTGGCAAACCATTACAGATATTTTGTGTGTCAGCATGGATATACTAACTACAATTTTGTAATCACTGGCGTGGAATAACCAAGAAGAGCAGATGTCGCGTTCAATACTCGAACCGGGTACAACTCAACCGCTTTATCGTTTCAGCCAGCTTGCTGGATATAACCTCTTTGTCTTTTGCACTGGACCTCCTGGTTGAGTGATCTGGACTTCCGCCTCGAGGTCATGGCTTCGTAAAAACGCTCAGAGACCGTCTGTCCTGTCAAGGTTTTTCGTGGTATTATGCAGTCCATCCAAGCAAATTCCGTGGTAGTACCTTGAAAGGGACCCAAAACTTCCGGACTCATCTTTCACGAAAGTGGCTGTTTTATTATTCGTTGCAACATGTCTTCTGGTCGAAGTTTACCGACATTTTGGAGGTTTTTGCTGCCCCCAGTACCAGAGTGATGGGTAAATTAACATTCGATTGTATATTCAGTTGAAAAAGTGTCGTTAAATAAACCACTTTCTATCACGAACGCCACTGAATCCAACACACGTTGCTGATAATATTACGTAGAAGCTATTGAATTTTAATTAGCGGTGTAATGCAAATATTTTGATGGTGTTGGCACCACTGCTCTAGCTCCTGTGAGTATAGCTAAATTGTACAGCAGACCTGGTTGCAACCAGTATCAGCTGGAAGGCAGGCTTCAGTGTCAATAGCGAAGCTGCGTGAAGAAGAACAGGGAAGCTGCTATTTGCGGGAAGTACAAAGTGAGCATTCTTTCAGTCTTCAGATTCAAATTTTATTGAATGTTGGTAAAGTAGTGTGATGTGTTAATTCAGTTGCCTTTGGTTTATGCCGCAAGTGAACTCATACAGGCATCAGGTATAGAAAACAGCTGAGTTTGGTTACATAATGTACGTCGATTGCATTTTAATAACATACGAAAAAGATGCAGTTCTACTGCATTGCAGAGCATGACAGTCTCGTCGGGAAGAAGGGAAATGCTTCTCATTTCGATATTACGATTGTGCTGTTGGAAATTATAAGTAATCGAGGTGATGGTATTGGTATCTGATACATTTGTGTTGCTTTTCGAAGTTGTATCTGCGTGTAGCAAAAATATAATTACGTAGGTGTTAAAAGTGTCGATAAATACTCGTCTTGTAATTTTTTGAACGTACTTATATATTTATACTGTGTAATTTTTTTAAAAAAGTACCAAACTTTGGGTGTAATGGGAAAGTAACTTGAACTGGTAATTAAACAGGACATTTGTTTTCATAGAACACATGCCAAAAATAAATTACCTTCTCGTGTTCCGAGACAGCCAAGTGCCGGGTTAGAAAAGAAGCCCCCATCTTGGAACCGATGGTGTGATAATGTTCTGTTTGGTCAGGGATATCGCACATCTCATGGGATGCTGATAGATGAGCCCAGGGCAGTGGTGAAAAGCCAAAGCCAAATCTGCTTAGAGTCAATTCGTTTACCACGAATCAGAACCAGTCCAACTGGAACTTTTTAACGTAATTCTTTCGAAATTAATGGTATGGAGGGAACAGACTATTTGGAAGACGTCAGAATTGACGAAACGTACGTATGTATTAAATTTGAGCCAAGATATGGGATGTGAACTGTATTATCCGTTTTATGATGAGGTCAAGCGGCGAGCTGCTGTGAACACGGCGATGAACCTTAGAAAGCAAGAAATTTCTTAACTAGATGAATGACTTTCTCAGTATTGATTGTGCTCTTTGGATTATGAGGATGAGGTGGGCGAAACATATAACACGCATGGAAGGGATAAGAAGTTTATATAAAATGTTAGTATGAGTCATCTGCGAAAGTACTAAACTGTTTTCCGCGATATTTGGTATTGGAAGTGTTTACATTAAAAGATGTGGATGCAATTTAATTTCGGTTCATATAGGTCCAATATATTACATAAAACTGACATCGAGGTTTATCGTTTCTAAAAAAGAACCCTGCTTTTCATGCAGACATTTGATGGAAAGGAAGTAAACAAGGTTTACGGCAAGATTTTGGCTTGTAAATTTTATTTTAAACGTTGCTGGATGTGATGACTATTTAATGAAACACACGTAAGAAAGGTTTCTGATCCAGTTCAATGCGGTAACCATAATGCTTAGCAGCTTTGCAACATTCGATTAGTTTCTGCAGCAAGTGAACGTCAGGCCAATGGACTATACAAAACTGCAAATACTGAGAGGAAAATGTGTGTAGGCCTACTCTACTGAAATTCTCCTTTAGCTCTTGATATTATACTACAGTTGTTACAATTGTCGACTGTCTGCTGCTAGATCAGTCATAGGCTGTCATATGATCCAATCAACAAATTCAAGGTACGTGGGGGGAGGCAGTAGAATATTCTAGATAAGCTCTTCGTTTATCTCTGAAGATGGTGGCAGGAACAACTATAATTGAATCAGTCGTGATAAATGTCCTCAACTACGGGAGATAGGATACTGCAAATTGCCTACTAACGGGGGATTCTGTGTCAAATTCTGACGTAATCTTGAGTGGTGAATTGAGAGAGGTGAGGATGCAGCCGTGACCTATTTTATGGTGATACTATGGCATTCGCAGACGAATACATTGTTGAACGTTTAATTGCACCTCAGTGAATTCGAAGTTATTTGTCCCCATATTTTGCTAATGTAACTACAACATGTCCAAAAAAATGTTTCAAATACAATTCTCACATCCTAATTGAGTGTTCATTTGATTATGTTTATGTGCCAGTTTGCTGCACTGTGCGTCGTCCATCATGAAAAATAAAAAATGAATATTAATTTGAACTAAGTGTGAATCAGGGGTTATATATATAGGCCTGACCATTCAGGTCTGAAGCTAGCTGAACGAGGGGCCCCAGCAGAGAGAGTTTGTGTCCTGTTTCCCCGGTTTGTACCTGAAGCAGAATTCAGCTTTCTAAACGTCGTAGTTTTATTATTTTATAATTTGGACGAGAGACAAAGTCCGAGCGAACATTTTAATGCATCGTTGTGAGAACCTCCAGACATTGCCAGCATTTGTTTAAATGACTCTCCCATTTTGTTGCGAGCGCTGAGGCAAAATCATAGACAAGTTCCCACGTAATGCCATAATATATATTTATTACGGAATTCTTTAATACCGTACCTTACAGTAATGCGTGTTTTTAATTCGATTCAAATTGTATCTTCACGTACTTCGACCTGGGTATATACCCTGCTCTGTATTCGAGGTATTTATCGGCCCTTATAAAATAAAGATAATTTTCTTATTCCCGATCATCAATATTCCTAACGTGACGTAACAAACCGCCTGCTGGCTGGCTGCAATGAGCGAAAAGGTGAAGGCTGCACACACCAATCATGTCTCCATTATTTGCTGGCACGATGACGTCTACAATAGGAATAGAAAAACCACGTAGCAAGCGGCTTTCTGTGTTCGAAGTACGGGGAACAAAAGGAGCGGAGACGCAATTTCACAAATGTGTTATTTGCGAACCAATATCGGAAAGGGTTTCGAACCCGCTATTTCGGTGTGCAGTGGATTCAGATTGAATAAATTTATTTTCTTTGATATGCTGACAATTTAAAATTAAATCCCCTTCTGCACTTCTCGTTTAATGAATTAGTATCCCGATACTGATTTTCTTTAGTAAGACAATCATTTTTTATTCAACATTGACGTCAGGTTTTAGTTGGTTTTTTTTTTTTTTTGTTTTTTTTTGTAATTACGTATCAGTGCCAGAAATGCTACAACTCGGACGAAGAAAATATACAGCAAAGCGCTTTTATTACGCATTATCTCAAGCTTTTGTCCATGTGGGTATATTTATCAATATATAAAATGTATATTATTTCAAGTGAAGTTGCATTGGAATATGATCTGAAGGGTTTCATTCTTTCTCCCTCTCTCCCCAGACGTTTTCTGGTTTTCGATCTTACAGTGGACCATGAACCTTCGTTAGTCCTGCTACTTCTCGTTTGCTACGTGACCCCTGCAGCTGATTCAGCGTCTTCGAAGGAGATGCTACTTGCACATTCTTAAATACTAAATAACGTGTTCAGTTCGATGAAAACAGTGTGCGAATAAGTGAGACAGAATATTTGTGTATAACAAAGAAAATTAAGAGGGGAATGAAGAAAGTTACTTAACTAGGACTTCATAATTTGCGTTTATCATCTATTACTGCTTCTTCGAGGAAATCAAGAATCGTGGTATTGGCGGGGTAGTGCTGCCTGCACACATGGAGAAAACTGCATAGGCTCTATCATATTTTGCATAGAAACCGTCGCGACAGATAGTTTGGGAGAAGTGGCGGAAAATTGGAGAATATTATTGAAATTCATCTTCAGTAAATTGTAAAATTATGAGCTGAATTGAATTAACACAACTCAGGGTCTAAGGACTGGATTTTGTGATGCGAATGACTGTGATAATCTTCGGGTTTCATAAAAACACAAAATTACTTAATTGCATAACTGGCTCTTTCCTTAAGCATAATTTTACACTGGGAAAGTTTTAGGAAGCAAGTGCTTGAAACCAACGGATGTGTGGTTTATTACTATTTAGTTAGATGAATAGTTAATTAATCTTGATTGGTCGGGCTCATTGATATGGTAGTTGGCTGTGTTGCAAACAATGTTCATATGCTCCACATTTCAGATCTGTTAAGGAACGTTGCAATAGAGAAAATGAGGTGAGGTGTAGTTTCGTGCAAATAGAACAAGCCACTTGATTTACGTAGCAGTACGCTGTAAGCAAATGTGCTGATGCTGGTTGCCTTGCAGGGGAAATAGGAAGTAACACAAGCATTGTGCACGGCATCAGTCAAAACTGACAGCAAATACAGAGAGCAACTGTACACCTGTATCCTGTAAGATGTTTCAGCATCATTGAATCTTGTTTAGAAAATTTCAACATGCGCGTTCTTGGAAACTTGCTTATGTTGTGTAGGTGGAAGACGAGACCCGGAGGTAAAACTCCGTACACTGTCCTCGACAAGAAACCGCAAATAAAGAAACACATAAGCGGCAGGATTACTTTCAATGTTGAACTGGGAAAGATTTGATTAGCCATGGATTATTCTATCCAAGAATTTGTCTGGAGAGACCAAGGAAAACATTGTAAAACATGTCAGAATATCATATCTCTCCTCGATCGTAGAGCTTCCACAAAAAACGGAACGCGAGTGTTGTATCACTTACTCTCCAACGTTTGATACCTCCTTTATAATCCTATAAATTCCTAATCTGTGAAACATTGTCTTGCGTCAGCAGAGAAATTGTGAGTCGTTCTACTTACGAGGCTTCAACACGTTCCTAATAGATTGTCTGTTTTGACAGCCAGTCCACATTGTACCAATTAATGTGTTATTCCTGTCATTATGTAACTGGAGCCTTGTTTTCATTCGTCGTGCAGATATGGTTAGAAAGTCGCTGTAAAACGCCCACTTGTGGATACTCGACCAAGATGAGGGCCTACGCCTTGCTGATTTAGTGGTTGGATGTTTAATAGGTTTTCAATGTTCGCTTAGTATAATCCCTGTGCTGGTTATGACATCGAAATTCAGTAAAGGTCACTGCTCCCACTTCATGATGCAGCTCCCATAAAACCACGCTAGAAGGCGTTCTAGTTTCGGTTATCACTCAGATACCTTACTATAACAATGTTTTAATACAGGGATACCTCGGAGATATTGCGGGTTCGGTTCCAGACCACCGCAATAAAACGAGTCACGAATTTTTTGGTTTCCCAGTGCATATATATATATTAAGTGTGCAATAGCTTTATGTCTAAAAAGCAATGCGAGAACATTGCGAGAATTACCAAAATGTGACCCAGAGACACGAAGTGAGCACATGCTGTTGGTAAAATGGCGCCGATAGACTTGCTCGACGCAGGGTTGCCACAAACCTTCAATTTGTAAAAAAAAAAACCCCGCAATATCTGCGAAGCGCAATAAACGAGGTATGTATTTTACTGTGAGGCTAATAGCTGCGAAATATGCAGTTAGGTTTGGTTTCCAACTTTTTGTCAAAATCTCGAAGAATTTTGCATCTTTGTGATGAATGTGGACACATTTTGATTTGCACGTGGCACATCTGTTATGAACGAGATATCGTCTATCTATAGGCACCAGATGGCGGGGGTGGGCGATGTTGTTTGCAGCCGACATGAAAGCATCCTCACATGTACGGATTCTCAGCAGACGAAATAAACCGTGCTGAGTCGGAGATCAGTTAAGGCGAATCATGTAACCAAAACAACGAATTCATTCTGTGGTAGCCCTCAAAAGAAATACCACCTACGTAGCTTTCTGTCCGTGTGAACATTGATATAATGGTATAGACTGTGAGTCTTAGAGAATCTGATCGACAGCAAGACTTTGCAGTTATATTTCTTTCTGTATACTCTGAAAACGATAAAACTAGGGATCTAATGATTAAAATTGACGTAATAATAATAACCCCTTAACGTTCTAATTAATTTGTTCACTTGAATTTGACAGAAAACAGTAATAAATGTAAGCTTCAGTGATTAAAGCTTTCTGTAAGCTACGGAACTACAGACTTTTGGGGTCAGAAACTGCTTGCTTGTATGACAGTCTTGCTCGGAACTGTTAACTGGTAACTTCCTTTGACTTCAAGGTAGGTTTATGGCGGCTGTAAAAGGGAGCACAAAGACAACATTTCAGAGCATAAAACACGCGAATTGCGTTTAGAACGGGGTGATTGTGGAATAAGAGTGAAGTTACTGTTCTTTAATCGATACCAGAAAACTAGTATAAACGCCTTTTCTTGCGAATTTTCATACCCAGTAACTTTGAAGTTACCTTAATGTAATGAATATCTAAGATAATCACACTAAAAATAAAAAAGCTTATACACCTAAATGGTAATTTAAGACTAGTTTCCAAAGAGTTTGTTGCTGAAAGAAATCGGCTTATGTTATGTTCCCAAGGGAACGCGTATCTCGTCACAACATGGTTTCTTCGTAGTGATATGGTTTTGCAGTATTCGAGATGAGAAATCCGCCAGAAAACTAACTTGTCTGTCACACCGACAGATGTTCTTACGTACACAGTCCGCTGGTCGTCGCTCGTGGTTCCTATGCTGCTAAACGCGTGTGATGTGGAAGAGTTAGAGGAATATGCCCGTGAGGAAGGCATAAGAAATTATTTATAAACGAGGATTTAAGGTTGTCACGAAGATGGCTGTCTTCTCGGTTGTAGCGCCGTGTAGTCTGGCAGACGTTTCAGAGGTCCTTACTCATCGCCCTGATGATGGAGGTAGCAAGCCATCTTCGTACTTTTTAAACAACGTAGGTTGGAGGAATGACCCTCTCCCTAGCTAGGATAGCTAACCTTGGGTTTGTTCAGCCTCCGGAAAGCGAAATCACTTGGCGTAGAGCTGCCGGTTTTCCTTGGTTTCCGTCTGCACGATGCCTGTGTTTCGAAGTACATTACTAAGGATATGGCTAATCCATGATCCTTGGCCATTGTAGTCAATGGCTTTAAATCTTCATAGCATTTATTCTTACGTTTTTTGAAATTATCGTGATATCTTGCGATGCTGTTATGATCATTAAGAATTGAAGGCGGCCTTTATGTAAGAGCATTTTATTGTTTCATCTTATCTCCAGTTTCTTTATCCCTGTGGCGGATGTCATGACTGTAATTGCAATCTGTTAAGAGAGTGTGTCCTGTGGTTGGATCGGCAAAAAGGGGACTTATTGTCCCAATACCTTGATATGAATATCTTGTTGGTTATTGAGATAATTGTCAGAATAGTTCATGTCTAAAATCACTGAGTTATGCGGGATAGATATTCCATGAATTACGCAGTCTACTGTTTTTTGGATGCGATGAAAGGTGAATAATTTAACGATGCTGTGTCAACTGCTTAGCATGCTCTGTGTTGAATGAGATAGTTTGATGACTTGTGTACCAGTATGGGAAAGAAAGTGGTCGAGGCTTATTTAAAAACTGAAATATTGACGAAAACCGCAAAATACAGACATAATCGCTCGTGTTTGGTCTAATATTCGAACTGAGTATCGCTCAGACAGAAGTCAGTCTCGTCAAGGCTGTGATAATGGGTTTTGCGTGTTTTTCAGACACTTTAATTACTTTTCATTTAATGAGAAATATTCGAAGTTACGTTTGCAGGCTTTTGGAAGGGTTGGATGATTAAGAGAGGGACAGCATGGGTGGCAGAATGGTACTCCAGAAGGAGTACCGCACACAACCGCATGACTAGCAATCATGCAGATGAGCTCGAGCTAAAGTCCATGTCTGACAAACCGAACGTCATATTTGTGCAGTGTCTCAATTTAGGGGGACTCTGTTTCAAACATAGAACAGGATAAAAATTTAAACCTTGACGGAATTTTATTTCGGTTTCTTAGTCCCTCCAGGCAAACACCTGATGCTTAAAATGTATGCGTTTTTTATTTCGCACAAAATAAGTGCGCATTTTGTCTAGTAGTTAAATAAGAAGACGCGAAGCGGTGGAGGGTAGGTGCTGTCTGCACATCAACATAAATAAGCCTCTGGTTTTCGATTGTTATGAAAGGAAAGGTAATGGTGCCTGTGGCTGTACGTTTGTTTGGAAATGCAAAGCAGCACACCTTACGTAACCCGCTCAGCTGTTACGTCTACCTGTAAAACGTGCTGGCAACGCAATCCGTGTTTGCTGTTTCTTTTCACTACCTATTTCATAACTGTTTTCTCAGTTGCGTGATCTGCAGCCACCAACATGAAACTGGGTGCACAACAGCAGCTGAAGCTCCGGAAGTGTCAGTTTTCCAAGTTCCGGTCTTCAACGTCACCACCGAGTTTGATTATGACATCCTCTTCAAGTGTTTCTAGTTCGGATTTCTTCGGCTGGTGTCGTGTCTGGAGGTTGGCGAATCTTCTTCTCCAGACAGGATGTTGAGCAATGTTACCATGGCAACCAGTCTTGAATTGCGTCCGCCAAAGTTAATAGAAAATCATTATTTCGTATACTTATTAGTTCTGTATGGGTAAAAATGAGTAGCCCATATGGTTTTCAAGAAAAAATAACAAATTGCACATAATAACGTCTTTATGTGTAGCCTTGTGTTTGCATATGTAATCTCAAAGAAAACTTTCTTTTGTGTAACTTATTCCTGCCATTACTTTGTCACACATTTTGTAATCTGAATTTGTGTGCTAGAAGATTAATTTAAATTGGGCCATTGTTTTGTTCAAATGGCTGCATCTTTCCTTCCATGGATTTCGTAGGCTAGTTAAACTATTAGCTTCCACATATCTGAATTATTTTAAAACTATATTATTCCCGTGAATAATATTTGTAAACGTGATTAACCCGTAATGACTGTTGCATATTAACTCGTCATTCTTTGTTAATAATACAGTAAGTTCTACAATAACAATATCTGATCAGTGCATGTATATAGGCGTATGCAGGAACTACATCGTAATGAATGTGATAGAATATTTTTAAATTAGTGCCTAAGTATAGGTTTGTGTTCACTAGAATAATCATTAAATATCAGGTTTATGTTATTTGTTATATATAAAACATATTAATTATGTTATTACAAATATAACTGATATTCATATATTGCACTTTTGGAATTTTTAATTTAGAATTATGTAACTGTTTATGGAAGGAATGTACCAACACTGTAACACTGTGTCTTTTTCCCCATTGCTTCCTTTGAAATCCTTGCTTGTTTTTAACAATTTAGTTAGTAGCTTGACACTAAAAACAGCTTTCCGGTTTTAGAATATTGCATTGTAACAACAGTAGAAGCACCAATCATAACAGTTACTGTTACGAAATATTAATTTTTACCGGATTATTCTGATTTCCGTTTTGTGAAGACAAGGGCTCTCATATGATTGAGCTCTCCCTCAAAGTTAACCCTTTGATGTCTAGTGGTAACTATATATACCACCTACTTTAAACTCCAGAAACTAATACTCAGTATTAATTACTGGAATTGTTGTGCCGTAGCTGCGCGTGTCCTGCGGTGCCGAGACACTTTCCATGTTTCACGAAATGCAGTCTCTGGCTCTGTCATCTTACAGATCTAGTTTGAAAACGCAACAGCGGGTGTTCTGAGCGGCGGGTAAATCCGCTTTTGAATGAAACAGAGTAGGCGCCAAGCAACAGGTTGGGAGACGCAACACAAGGACCGTCTCTGTGTGAGAACAGAACATCGCAGTGTGGCTGGTACAGGTCTCAGGCGCTGTGTGAGGAAAAGTGGCAAATTGTGCCAAATAAGCTTATCTGAGACGCGTGTCGAATAACGTGCCAGCATGCTTCAAAAGTTATCTCGAAAGAGATTTAGATAATGATGCTTTTTGCTTTACACATCTTTTATTTAAATAATTTGTATCTCAGGATAGGTTATAACATGTATTGTTTTAGAAAGATTTAACTGTACTCGCGTATTATTCGTATTTACAAAATTAAATTTTATTATCATACACGTGTGTAGAACAAATTCATAGTGGGTAGGCCGTGTCTTGTCCTTCTGTCAGTCCGAATGTTTTATCTCCGAAACTACGAAATTGATTTCGATAATAGGCCTATTTGATGTCAAGGAAACTACTAAAGGATATTGTGCAAATTTCATTTTGGTTTGTAGGATTTGAGGTTTTCAGCGCCGTGTAGTCTGGTAGAAGTTTACTAGCGTTTCAGAGGTCCTCGCTACCTCCATCAACAGGGCGATGAATCGCGCGATGACCCAGAAGGCAGCATTCCTCATTTTGGTTCATATCGGTCATATGTGAAGCCAACTTCACATAAAGCTTAAATTGAACTTCACAGACTTCTCACAAATGGCTCTCCCCTTTTTCGGTATTCGTGATGAATTTTCTCTGCACTGAAAGTACATCGCTCACGTAACTTTTCTTGGCGTGGCTCGCTCTTTACGGCCTGGCACGTGTTAACGGGACAGCAGAGTAGATAACTGATCAAATATTCTTCACAGTGTTCATCTCTGCATGTGCAATAATCCTACTATGCGTGCAACAGATAAATGGAGCCTAGCTTCAGAGTCGCATCTCAGACATTAACTTCCACCGCGGGTCGATGTCGAATGGCAAATACTTTCTTTTGCACAAGGTGGAAGTCATAATGAAAGGCCTGTCTCTCTGTTTGCTTGTTTAATCCCAGAAACTATTAAACACTTTTCGATAGATGATACTTTGTTGTTGAAAAAAGAACTAACGGACTGGCGCAAGCAGATTACAACATTACGTGACTTGCGCGGGCTGTTGTATGATCCGTTTTGATTTGCAACCATCAATATGTTTTAATACGGATTGCGTGACTTTGTGATCGCCCTTCACAAATATTAAAGTAGGCTTTCCAGGCGCAGTCCATTGACATCGTTGAAATTTGGGTTCTGTTTTGCCAACGAATTAGTTAGTTAATTATGTATTTAGTTGAATATTTATTTACCTTCAAGTGAGAGTGAACCTGGATTTATTACGAAGTTGATGTACTGATACCTATGATCTGAAGCTTTCACGGCGATTAAGTATAACGAATTCTTCTCGGGCTACCAGCCGTGTAAGGCGGTTTAATGGAGAAAACACCGACGTTTCGAGAACCTTCTTCGTCCTCAGGGTACTGATGATTCTCGAAACGTTGATATTTTCTCCATTAAACCAGCTTACATGGCTGGTAGCTCGAGAAGGATTCATCATAGTGATTCCTGTCAAACGGAAACTTAGAAGATCTACTGAATTTCAGGGAATGTTTGGCGGTACATGTAATTGGTCATTTCTCTTTATTTTAACGTAATATATATTTAAATTAAAAGTATTGGCAAGAGATATGTTTGATTTGTTAATTATTTCCCATCCCTTATTCAGTTTTCAATATATCTCGCAGATCACAAAATACGGCAATAATGTTATTATTTCACCGTTTGTAGCATTTTCCACATCCATATTTCAACTGCTGAAATTTTATAACTATCAGGTTATGTTCACATTTTAATTTGTGGGGCAAAGATTAACGTCCGCACATTACAGATGTAGCGTAGGTGCCTAGTTCGCCCATGACTCCCGATTACTGCAGTTTGATTTGTCGATATGAACCTGTCTTCAAGACATTAAAAGCTACTTCGGCTTTTCTGTTGATCTTGTATTTCGGTAGTTAAAACGAAAGTATAAAAAGTTACACAAGAGGAGATGATTGTCTATATAAATGGTTGGACACGCGTTCTCGCTTTATTTGCATGTAAATTGTTATGGTCGTCTAAATCAGGACTGTTGGTTGGGACACCATGATGAATACTAGGATAAAGGTTATAGCAATTTAGTGATAGAATGTCTTCTGGTGTTGTAATCAATCTCTTACATTTGGCAATTATTAGAATTACCTTCAATCACGTAAACACAATATTTTCAGGGTGATTAAGTCAAAATGAATGAAATAGACGGGGAATGTAGCACGCATGGATGGGCCAAGGGGTGTGCATTGGGTATTGGTTGGAAAGCCTGAGGGGAAGAGACCGCTGGGGAGACCTAGACGTAGATGGGAGGATAATCTCAGGCGGGATCTATGGGAGATAGGAGTTGAAGGAAACTGGATTTTGTTGGCCCAGGACAGGGTCCGGTGGAGTGCTTTCGTTAATTCGGTGATGAACCTTCGGGTTCGGTAAGCCATCTAGTTAGTTATGTCTTTTGGTGATTGTTTGCTACCCTTGTTTCTTTCGTTGGCCTGGGAACTGGTCTGGTAAAAGTTCTGTTTGATAGATTTTCAATGTAAAGGACTTACGTAAATGTTCCATAATTTTCTCAGGATTTTTACATATATATTGCAGTTTCTACAATTGTAGTTACAGTATTGGGCGTTTAGATGGCGTTGCATGTTATGGAGCAGCATTTATATGTTAGTTTCTGAAATGACAACAGGTGTCGTGGTTGGAGCTGAAATTTGTTTTCAAAATCGACCAGAGATGTCGGAGAAGTAGCAATCGTTTGGGAAGTCTGTTACTATAGCAACGTGTTGCGCACAATGTTCGTGGTTGCCTGTGTTGCCTTGACAACGGGAGATAAGGTGGAGGTGATTCTGATATTACGTCTGGACCCCGCTAGATGTCCGTAGTGTGTGTCGAAAGAAGAGGCGAGAAGGTTGGAAGGCGAGTTGCGAGCGTTTTTGAGATGAAGAATCAGTTGGTCGTGAAGTGTGGTGCGTTTCGGATGCTGGAGTGGCCTTGTCGGCAGATCCCAGTCGAGTGGGATTTAGATTTGGACCTCAATCTGGAGTTGACACCAACAGTTGTTGAACACCCCAGATCAAAACTGCAGCGGTACCTTTCGGAAGGACACCACAATCACCATGACATGGTGCAAACATCATCAGCTGCTGTACCGAAAAGATCGGCTACCATGACCTTTCACAGGTCAGTTTCACATCCTAATCAACCACATCTGTTCGCTGAACAGCAGGGACAGCACAACCGTATGGTGGTGGACTCGTCGGCCAAATTACCGCAGGAATCTGGCAACATGACCGTTGACAGGTCATTGTCTAATCAGCCAGCTGTCAAACTACGCCGATTTTTGTCAGAGGGTCATCAAAACAAACAGGAGTCATCGCCATCAGCTTCTCGGCAAAGATCTGCTACAGTAACATTTAACAGGTCAGTTCGCACAGCTGCCATCACTTTTCTTTGCAGAGTTATATACCAACTCGTGGTCACGATGACATCACCTGCGAAGAATTCGGAAATGTTTATCAGTGACAAACTGGTCTGCTTGTCTTTAAACCCTAATATCCTGTCTATATGTGCTTCTGTCAGAAGAGTGACTAGTGAAATTTAGGCGCAGGTGTCAATGATGAAATGAAATTTAATAGCAGTGCACTTTTTCATGTGAGACGCGTTAATGTTTTGCTCTCAAGACGGGAGGGTGTCGGGACTCGTATGTGACAAAGGAGAGGACACTTTTTTTAAGTTTTTGACAGAAATATCTTCAAAATGAAACCAATACAATGCTGAAAAAATGTATTTAATTTCACCTTATTCCCTCGTTTTAGTAACACTTTTTTGTTTTCAAATTGTTTGTTTTCTGAACTGGTTCTCTGTCACCATAGGATGACGCGTACTCACACTGTCAATGGAGGAGACCGCCTACAGATGCAAAGAGACGTGTCTATCACATAATAGTCATTCTTCGTCGTCTGTACAGTGATATGACGATCAAACCACTGACTTACAAAATCTAAAGCACTAAAATGAACTTGCTATCATATGAGTAATAAACGTCATTTAAAACGTGATATATAAATCTGTGCTAACAATTAATCAGGATTTAACTTTTAGTAGAATCCAATCTTTGGATTGAAAGCTGTCTCATGGGGAGAAACCTTTCCTATTCGACTAGAGTGTGGATTTCATTCTTCGAACCGTACCGGTATTAGAAGTAGCCATAATGTGATTGCTTGTAGAACTGAATGCCCAGTGGGTCGTCCCTTGGTGCAGGCCTGCTGCCTGTTGGTAATGCAAAAGGGTTTTGTTCAGTAGCGACAGAAGCTTGTGTTAGGTCATATGTGGTTATGCCAGCTCCGCCTCCAGCTGTACGTCCCTCGACGACTTAAAACACGTTCTCTTTAACCTTAGAATTTAAATACACAAGTAAAAAAGAGCTTAAAAGCCATGGAATTCAGTACGGAAAACTGTCGTTGACAGAAAAGTGTCCGATTCGAAGAATACAGAGCGAGTACTAACGTAAATCTGATTTTAATAACGGAACATTGTACCGCTTAAATGGTAAGGATAAACAGGTGTTTGACAAGGAATAATGCTCTTGAATGTTTGTTGGTTATCCATCATGTGATTCTGTTTCGGAATGAGTTTCCTGGAGAGAAACGACCTCCCCATTTTATGAACTTTGTGCAATTAAGTCCAAAAGGAAGGCAGGAAAACTGAAATGTCGGTAATAGTTTGTGTGTGCATGTGTGGAATGCTTCATTTGTGATTCTGAATATACGTAGAGATTATTTTTACAAAACGTTATTGCATATTGAAATATCCTTAAGAAGTGAATTTCTTTGAGTAAAAACAGTTGTCTGGTCAGAGTTGAACCCGGTCGAGATTCGAACGGGTTTCATCCCGAGAAAGTTTTAATTTATCTTATCTCAGTTGTCTCCTTTTAGATAATCTTGTTGATTGTTCTCACCCTCTTATTTAATATTTTCCGTTGTTATTTTGTATGGAGTTAGTACGAGTGTAGTTAAAATCCTAATGGTGGTACATTTTACCGAAACGTGTAAAGAGAGAGACTGAGGAGATTTGAGGTTCTCAAGGCCGTTGTAGATCTTATGGTACCTACAAGTCCACAGGGTGTTACGACCAGAAGACCGACGTCGTCACATGAACTGAGCTTCGTAGTTCGTACTTTTAATCAGATAATGTTAGGGCAATTACATCAAGGAAATGAAATGGACAGCGCATGTAGCACACATATTAGAGTCGAGAAATGCGCACGATATTTTAGAGAGGAAACCTGAAAGGAAGATGTCACTTAGAAGACGTAGGCGATGATGAACTATTTAATAATATTGAAACTAATCTTAAATAAACAGGACATAATATGACTGACTCAGAAAAAGTGTCAATGGCGTAATTGGGTGCAGACGAGCTGAGCAACTGTAAGCTTCTCAAGAATGACTGTTCTCCGTGGAGTCATTGTGTAGAGTCCGCCTGTTTTACTACAGTTGACGCATACGACGGAATGTGTCAATAGGAAATTTTGCTTAGCGTTTTCTCTGCACGCTGGCTTTGCTTTAATCGGTTTTAGTTGGTCGAGACCATGGCTCGTGGTAATGATAGTAAGTACATTCTATACAACATGTTCGTTTATCTTTGGCTTATCTTCAGATATATTCCCCATATTTGACCATTATGTATGTAAAACGCCATTCAGTAAAGCAGATAAAGATAAGCACAATGCCATGTTATGATATGTAACATCCTCTCGAGCCTTCTTCCAGCAGATAAGGCTTTTATTAATGTATAATTCAGTAATTGTGCAATTTGTTTCAGTCTTATTCTGCTAATTCGTGTTTGTTTTTATTTATAAAATTGTGTTCCAGGTTTGAAGTAATGTAGGTGTCGCTTATATTAAGAGAAACAAGGAGTCCGACTTGTAGGGAATGGAGGAAATAAAATAATAAGGAATTTTTATTCCCTTAATACACTTTGATTAATCAAATTAAATATCTGAGGTCGATAGAATATATGTTCACGTATGCCACTCCGCCAGTTGATTTTTTTCTTTTTTTATGTCTCTTTTCTTTCTTTTTTCTTCTTTTTTTTGGGAGGGGGGGTTCAAAATGTCAGCCACGGTATAGTATTGGACTTGAACGTGATTTTCAGAACTTCTGAATAAGTCGAAGGAGCGGCTTCTTTAGTGCAGGTCATTTTATTTCAACACGTGGCAGACCACCACGTCCTCCCGGTCTGAGTCCTGCGTGGGCCTGGAAGATGCCGTCACATTGATCCTGACAGAGGAACCGAAACTGTTAATAACGATATAATTGAAATGTAGCGTTGACTCGGAAAGCAAACTAATAATGAGCGCTTCCTTCGGTATTCTTACCCGTTCATTATTTACTAATATCTTTCGATGCGTTATAAACTGAGATATCGACAGCGCCGTTAAACAAAAATGACTATATTGAAGCCTTTGAAATACTCAGATAAGACCAGAAAGTGTAAATACTAAACAATTTTCATTTAAAGTTAACTTTGAATGCCACACAAAAGTTTGTGCACGACCCATTGCGGACTCCCCAAATGCTTGCTTTAGCATTTCATAGGTTTCCGTAGCCGTTTTGGCGAGTCTTTGGCAAAATTTGATTTGTTCATGAAAATCCGCCATTCCGAAATCGCAGGAGGGTCGGTGTAATGCACTACCAAAACGCCCGTAACTAAGAAACAAATGCTAATTCGATGATGCCGGATGGCACACTGATTCACTATGAATGTAGGCCGCACCCCCTAGCGGCAGAAGCTCGTACTACATCCGGTTCGCCCTCTATTGACACAGTCTTGAAACTTTCCGATCGCACCACGTATTGAGCATGTTATCAAAGCTGTGACGCATCTGGCCTTTATTCTGGAGGTACCAGGTTGTAGTCCCTGTCGAAACACAGATTGTCCTGCCTGACTGCGGAATTCTTAATTGTTTGAATCCCTTCAAGTGAATATCAGAACAATGCCCTTCTGCCTATTTCTGTCTAACAGAACAATTCTTGTAGTCCTTTATCTCAATAGATTTTAGTTCTGAATGAAACTTCTGAGTACTTCTATTCACGTATTATAATAAAATGGTAACTGTTAAAACCAAAACAAAGAAAAGCTGTCATGAAAGACATGGCGTAGGCTAATAAGACGTACGAAAGTGTACTAAGAAAGTTTAAGCTGTGTTTAAATCTTCTCGTGTGATTACTGAAGTACCGCTTCTTTGAAAGGGATGACGTTAATCAAATAAACTACTCTCCCTTCTGTGTTTACTGTCTTAGCCTGTTGATTTTCCAGGGCATGTTGTAATCAGAAGAGCCACCGATCGAATTACAGGATCGGCTATTTTAAAAATCTTGCCGAGGCGGGAAACAGCTGAGTTCCGGTTCTGCCCCTAAAGCTGGTGTGAGTGCTGTTTAACTTTGACAGCTTCACAGAAACATGTGCACGTGGCAGTGTAATAAATCTGAGGAAACACGAATTGCTGTTTTGTGTAGTTTTTCGTAATTAACGAACAGATGTGTAGGATGTTCTATTAAATATGCAACAGTTACTGCTGGTGGTACCAGACTACTTGCACGGTCAAAGGTCGGGGTGCTCCCACCCACACATTTTCTGTCCGTTTCAAAAACATTACTTTAGATGTCTGTCTTCTGGGTTATTGCGCTGTGTAGTCTGGAAGAAGAAGTTTGTTGCTGCATAATCAAGGCACTAATCGCCCTGATGGCGGGCAACAAACAAGAAAGTCGATTTTTTTAAACAACTATCATGCTACCTGACTGTTCCGTGCACAGACCAGGGTGTGCCGAGTCCTCCTGTATGCAGAACTAAGGACATCGGCTAGCGAATAATCTGGTCCAATGAATACCACACATGGACCCACGGATGGCAGTATTTAAATCTTGCAGCCGTATAACGTCGTTGAACCTGATGCACTGCTTTAAATCTGTACAGCCGTAATGTCAGCTGTTCTGTTGCTCGATGAGCGAGCACTTGTAATGGACAAACAGTTTCTGTGTCCTGAAATGTGTTGTCAGTCGGTCTATTGTCTTATGTGGTGCTTCTTTGTCAGGGTACGCGGTGTTAAGTGCTTCACGAACAGCAGCAAATGATTTCAGTGCGAAGAATGCTGAAGAATGAAAACACGTTCTACTTGTTAATGCATGTTCGCTCCAGCATTTGGGCAACTGGCTTGAGCAGCGACAAATGTGTCTGCAGAATTTGTAATTTGTATACGAATTTCTATGTTCTAAAGTTAACCAATTGGGTTACATTGGGATGCACCTCACAATGAATGAGTGGCTATACGAGGTGCGATCGAAAGGTTTCCAGACTGCGCGTATAAAAACCCGTACACTTATCTCAGGTATTAAATTCATCCATCACCCTCGAAGTAG